AAATAGCTAGTATAGCTTTTTATGCAAAAATGTGATTATTTATACAAATAAGTTTTATTTAGACCATTTTCCCAGAACAGAAAAATAATTATATTATATAATTATATAAATTATATTATAACAAATTAATATAATAATTATTAATAAAAATGTATTGTATTAATAATTAAAAAATAAAACAATAACTAATATAAAAATTATTAACTTTAGTATAGTCGCTCTTTATGCAAAATTATGTGAACAAGATTTTTGGACCATTTTCCCAGAAATGAAATATAATTATATTATATCTGTTATAATAAATTATATTTATAGATTATATACAATTGACTAATTAATTAATTGCATTAATAATTATTAACAAATAAAACCACAATTGCTATAAAAACATTAACATTGTTGATCATTTTATATATTAAAAAAATATATTTGTCAACTTTAATGCACCAGAAACAGATGGACTCGAAGCTAACAGGCATGGACTAAAAGCCGCAAGATGTGGTCTTTAAAGTAACAATGAAACAGCACATCACCAGAGAAGTATAATGTTTTCACTGGAAGATCTAGTTATGACAAATTGATTAAACATTACAGGGTCAAAAAAAATGTACATTGAAACACATGCATGGATGATTTGTTCACAATAAGATCAACAACATGCATTCAGACTAGATGGGGTGAATTTTCATTTCATGTCTTTAAATGCTTCCATCCTTTTTGTGTTTCCTTGCTAGGTTTTATAGAGCTGGAACACATGTTGAAAACATGCCAACTGTATTTGAAAACACAACAGATCAAGATCATCGGGGCTGGGGATACAGTACAGCTGAAGAGGGACATGAGGAGGATGTAGCCGCATGATATACCACCACCACCACCAGGCTCAATGGATCTTTTTGGACTTCAGTGTTTAACTCAGGGGAGCCGCGGGGTTACTGGACCATACCGTACTCCCTTCTTCGAACCCACGAACCCTTCTTTTGCAGGACCGCAGAATACACTACTGAAGACCAACACAAAAAATATATATATTTAAAAAAAGAAAAAGAAAAACAATGTAAGTCCTCAAAAGGCTCTGAATCTATGAATAAGTAGTATGGGAAAAAAACACTTTTTACAACTAAGATAGACTTTTAGATGGGAATCATGTAATATTGAACACATCTTTGGGAAAACTTTTTAAATAACTGTTTTAGAAACCAACAAAACGGATAAAAAATAAAAAATAAAAAAAAACTTGAAAGACAGAACTTTTTGGAAGGATGTGACAATTCAGGACAAGAACTTGCTTCGACTCGGGATGGCCAACTTTTTTTCTTGGAGTGCCTGTCCGTTTCCAGGGGCAACGGCTGCCACAAACCGCAGCCTCCGTCCGCTGGGAGACTTACCTGTCATTCCTTAGTTGTGTAGGGACCAAATGACCAAACCTTTTTATCACAAATGAAACAGAAAAAAAAAAGAAAAAAAAAAAGTACCTGTAACATAATCGGACCACTGCATCTCTTGCTGTGCCAATTGGTTTAAGAGTTTGAAAAAAAAAAAAAAAAAAAAGATATATGTATAAAAAGAACATGTATGACTATATGCATAAATGCATACATATAGATTGCTGATATGCTTTTTAAATACTGGCAGAAATATTTCCGATGGCCCGTTGAGGCCGTTCACTTCGCTAGTTTACAATTACTGCTCAAAATGAAGAATATTTATTTTTATTTCTCTTCTAGTTTTTCTCTGTGGTGAGAGAAAGGGTGCATGGGAAGGGTTGTTCCATAATGCAGCCTTACCTTTTCTATCTTATGTCCTGACCTTGTAGTTAAGAGACCATCTTAAAGAGGTTTGAGATAAACAATCCTGTTTATATATAACGTACATACATACAATATGTATAGCAGATGTTCAAGCAATATGTATTCATATTTATGCACCTGTACAGCATATATATGGATACATACGATATTAATCCCAAAACCCATATATGTATTTATATGCATATATTTTATATGTGTGTATATATAGAAACCGGCTATTCAATATGTAGAGCTGTACTTTTTTTGTAGATTTAAGCTGGTGTTTGAAACCACTGCTTTGCTTTGGACTTTTACCACTGGGAAGGATCTCAAATCGGCAGCTGCAGTCTGCAGGCATTCCTCTCGATCCGATACAACGTTTCTTATCCGCCAACACACACACGGGTATGAACACTGATTCCGTTTGTGTACATATGTGTATATGCTACTTACAAATGCAAAAAGGACTCCTCTCGTAAGAGAGTTTAATGAGAATCAGGATCATTACGAAATAGTACAGAATACGGACATATCTGCCTCCCGCCTCTGCAAACATTCGCAAATATTCAGTCGAACCGAGCGCCGGCTTTCTAAACGAACGCCCGGCGGTTTTTCGAACCGCGATCGCGCATGCGCCGTCGAATCGTCAGCAGTGCGTCCGAGCACCTGGCAGCACTGTGCTACAACACCGCTAGCAGCCATTCATTATTATTATGATGATGATGTCAAAACAACGGAAACACTCTCCTTATTTACAAAATAAAAAGAATACTACTATAGCTACAGCTAACAGCAAAGCCTTCAAATATCTGTTGACATGACAAACCTGTGCAGCTTGACACCGTCATTTACCGATTTACACCCACTCGACGTTCTGCGGTTACAATGAAGTGGGCATTATGTACGTTTTGCACAAGTGTCAGAATCCGCATCACATTGCGTGTTTACATGTGCTGCTTCAGCGTTCAGACTGATTCGAGGGGTTTTCCCGCGCGCGGATTGAGGATGGAACGCGAGTTTTGAATTTCTTGTTATTGCAAATTGAGGACTTGTACGATTTTTGGTTATGCTTTTCGATTGACCTATTATACAAGATGGCACTATTGTAAATATATGATAATTTCAGAGCTGGTTAATTCGCTTTACCTAAGAGTAAAGCGTCTGTATAGAGGGTAAAAAGCAGTAGTCCGTTCACCTCATTTCGAAGGGGAATCCAGTTCTGAATCGACGCGTCTTCAGACAGGTTCCGAGAATGTCGTATTTTGCCTTCTAACGTTAGATCTTTCCAACACATGATCATTCAGGTATTCCAGGATCTTTTGCAAGAATATGCATTCCGTCTGTTGGATTTCAGTGTCACCTGTCTTTCTCTCCCTCTCGGTCTCACACCATCTGTCTCGCGCTCATCATCTTCCTCCATGTTAACCGTTTCAGCTGCAACTGTTTACATAGCAATCTGGCAATGTAGAGTTGACAAAACCGACAAGACAGAACATAAATTTTATTATAAATATATATAAGTATATACATGAACTACTGAATATACTGTAAATGTTTTTTTCTCTTTTTTGCTCTGTTCCTCTGTATATAGGTTTGCATATTTTATAGTCTTTTACTTCAATCTAGAAGGACTGGATGACTAAGAAAATTTAGAGACAAAAAAAATGAAACTGAATTAAAGCAGGTAAAGTCTAGCCCTTAGAGATGCAGTATGGTTGTAAGGTATTATGGAACGTAAGAAGAGCCAATTAGATTTGATCCGAACATTAATGTCACTTTCAGAACTGCTGCCAACATGCTTATTTGCCTATTTATGTATTCATTTGTTCATTTTTTTCAAATGTCATTTGTTCATTTTTTTTTTTTTTTTCATTTTAAAATACTAATATATATGTACTTTTATCATTTAAATGGTTGAAATTTTTTTGTTTGTAACTGCACCGAATATCATTTTGTCATTTAAACGATTCTTTTTAAAATATATATTTTTACATGTTTTTGTATTGTGAGACACAATGGAACAATGCAACTGGCAGAATCAGGGTAATCCTTTATGGAGAATGTAGAACTCATGAAGGACTGGTGTCAAAAGTTTTCGCTGCACCTGTTAGAACTGTCTGCTGTTTTCTTCTGTTCTGCGATTCCATGCGTCTGTCAGAACTCCGATTTGCTTCACTGCTTTTTCAAACACTGGAGAAAAAAGAAAAAAAAAAGGAAGACAAACTGCACTAATCCATCAGACTCTCAGCAACTCATCCGAAAGAGTCTGGATTTACAAGAAACAATGCATTAAAATGGGGTTTAAAAAAAGAGAAGAAGAAAAAAAAAATTCAGACATTTTGAGCACATTTGAGCGTGCTGGGTGGTATCTGTGGATTTATGCCAAGCCTATCACAATGAGATTGAGTTGTATTAGCAGTCGGAGTACTGCTGCAGCTCTTGCCCTGTTCTTAACTCCACCTTTCTCTGGTCCCTAGACTATCTTTTGTAATTTTACTGAATGACGCGTTTCCGCTTAAGCCCAGTAATAAAGCACAGTGTAGAATAAAGCAGCATTATGCTTGTCCCATTTCCTGCTGTATGTCTATACAAGCCTTTTTATGAGTTGTTTTTATCTCTTTCTCTCTTTTTATGGATTTGTGGCACGACTGATGTACATTGAAACCACTTCAAAGGCGGAGGGTTTACATGCACACACACACACGGGCGCATCTCTGAAACTTTCTTTACAACACTTCAGAGCAAATTAGACCAATAACCCTGGAGCGATGTTTGGCTGAATCCCATTGCATATACTGATGCTCCCAGATCGAGTTTGAAGTATCAAAGCATATATGCTGTGTATATTGGAAAAGCAGGGGAATAGGAAAGTGAGGGGAGGCTTTAAAAACGGCCCTGTAGAAAAAAAAATTTGTTAATATATGCAGAAAACTCAGTGGCTCAGTGATTATTGTGGAAAACACAGCACTGCCTAGAAATACATCTTAATGACTAGTCACTCTTACGAGAATTTCTCATTTCCTCACGATGACAGTGGGATACACGTTACAGATCACAGCAACTGTTCTTGAGAAGCTCTTTAAACGTATACGTTGCCAAGTTAGTTCCTTGGAAAGCCTGTGGACTTTAATGGAGCTGCTGCCCAACCATCTGTGACTGAATAAACAACACCATTTATTAATAAACATTTTATTAAGGCAAAAATAAACCATTTATTTATTATCTTAAAATTAAGACCATAATTATTTCAAGACACTAAACACATTTAAAAGGCAGAATTAAGAGCTCATGAATAATTAATGATCATTCAAACCCAGTTATTCCAATAATCAACCTGAATCGCCTTTATAACCCTTCAACAGATGAAAAAGATGTCTTCTAAGATCTCACTCTCCTCCAGGTCTTGCATAGAGGACCGACTGGGGCCAAAATGAGAGAGAAGGGTCTTCTGAGAGGACTGAGGGGCAACGGAACTCCTCCGTGATGACTGATTGATTCGGTACCTTTCTGGGTTGGATGCAGGGCTGAAAATGTCCAACAGCTCAATCAAAGAGTCGTCCAACCTAACAATGAAAAAAAAAAAAAAAACAGGACTAAGCGGAAATGTCATATAGTTGTTTTATACACCAAAACAGAAGCGGACAAATGGGATATAAGCATGACAATTTACATATCACTCAGAATGCTGTACATCCTCAGATTCCCCTACATAAAAACAACATTATTGTTGTTGTCTGAATAGACAACAGAGTTCACAGGCTTTGAAACATGTGGCCTTAGGGTGCATATGAAGATTCCTAGTTTGGAAGGAAAACTGAGCGCCGAGCAAGGAGATAAATAAATAAAAGAATAAATAAACAAAGATTAAGCTAATAAAGATTCAACCCCTCAGTCCAGGTGCTTAATAAATTATTCATCGAATACAGACGCGCACATTTCAGATATGAAACATGAATTCTTAAAGCACGCTCCACTGATGCTGCTAACATAATTCACTGCTCATTCTAAACAGCATTGATTTGCATCCATGCAGCAGAGGGGATGAGTGGGTATTCGTACAGAAATGTGTGTGTGTGTGTCTGAGGGATCTCAGCTCCTATGAGAGGCAGAAAACGGTGTCATCCACTGAGTGCCTCTGACATATGAAAGCAGTATTTGCTTCACAGCCATGATAGCGGTGATTAACTTACAAGCTGCTTTTAACTTCTGCTGATTGACTGCTTCTCACAAAGACTATTTCTTTACACTGTTTTGCTGGCGCATGAACACACTTATCCCAACAAAAGGCCAAGCAAAGCGCACGACACTGACAAGGTACGCGATACAGTACGAGACCAAACGCCATTTCAGCACGTCTCCACAGTCGAATTTACTGATTTTTTTTATCTATTAAAATTATACAGGACGCTGAGACACATGCCATCCACTATTTCCTTCGTGTCTGACACTTTTTGGGTCTGAAATCATCAAAGTATCGGCTACACCTCTAAATGTTTCCACAGAAAGGTAAATAGAAATTAAAGGTTGTCAATGTCAAACTTCCATACTTCTCAGGAAACACATTAGCTTTGTTCTAAAAACCTAGCTGCCTTCTAAGACAACATTCTACCTGAGATGGAACCTCAACAGAGATTGATTTGGAACAATTAATAGAGACAGCAACTCCTCATATAAGGATAAAATAGTTACTTTTAATAAGACTGACCTATTTGTTGTGTACTTTTCAGCATTAAATGAAATATATGCACTTAAATCTCATCTTGCCCAT